CTTATGATTTAGTAATAGGAATATTAGTTAATTGAAATTCTATTCATAAAAAAAGTTACTGTGTTAGAAAAATATTGATATATATATATAGGTTATATCACTAATAGAAAGTGACACAATTCTTTTGTTAAATTTTTCTTCTAAAAAAACAGTTGTTTATTTATCGAACTACTTAAATATATTACGAAAAAAGGAAAGAAACCTCGTATATGTATATAATTTGCTTCTCTATTGACCAGTTGGTTTTGTTTTTAGTCATAAGCGATCAATCGTGTAACTATGTAGAAATTGTTGAGTCAATCTATTCATTCATTCATTCATCTATCTATGGTGTTCAGCATTCGTCATTTAATTGCATTGCACACCACGCGCCTGTCTGTCTGTTTGTTTGTTTGCATGTAAGGAAAGAAGGGGTAACGCCCGTGAAACAGACGTATTGGATTAGTAATCAAAACATACAGGGTGTTCATTGTATTTGTACATGTTAGTTGATGGACAACGGCCTATAGTTTCTCTTATTTTTATTTTATATTCAAGGATGATCAGATAACCATTGATAGAACATGATTATCTCAAGTGACTAAAACGTAACTTATTTTTAATATCTTTCCGGCAGACATGATCGAGATATCTATAAGAAATATAAGTTCTTTCTTTTTTGTTGTTCAATTTTGTTTATATATAAATACAATCATTTATTGTAAATTTAAAACTAAATTTTATATTAAAAAACAAATTTATTTCTATTTGCTTCAATGGCATTAAATGTCCCCATTGCTAAGTGTCCATCTGTGCTACATATATACAAAATGACTTTTCAGTATTCACATCTTAAGGCTATAGTAGCGGCTGTATTCTCTTATTTCTTTTAATGTGTTTATATTCGTTTGTTTTGTTGTATAGTGTATATATATGTGTGTGTGTGTTCATGGTATAGAACCCTTGCGGCAACTCAGTCGTTCTTCAATCTATTACGGACCTTGACTAGAATATTTTCTTTTTAATTAGATTGCTGCATTTTTTTTGCAGTTTAAAAGAATACTTGAAATTGAATGAGAAGAAATAAAAAAAATCAAATATATTTTAATTTTTTGTTTATATATATAGGCCATATCAAGACGGTTCATTGGTCTTTGAAGTACGTTTAGGTGACGTTATGGATCTTATATGTCCATTTTATGATGAACAACAATCATACATGACAAGTGAACTAGAACAATATGATATATTTCGAGTATGTTGTTTTTCTTTTTTCTTTTTTCTTTTACAAATTTCCGTTTTATTTGCAAAAAAACCAACAAGAATCAATGATATTATTATTTCCTTGTTTTTTTTTAAAGGTAACTGAAAATGAATATCAAAACTGTAAAATTAATTTATTTGGTAATGATCCAATGACACGTCGTGTAATAACATGTAACAGTCCATATGATATTATGAAATATACACTTAATTTTCGTTCATATTTACCAATACCAAATGGTTTTGAATTTCGTCCTAATCAAACTTATTATTTTCTTTCAACATCATCAAGTCATTATCAATGTAACAAACTTAAAATACTTGTACATGATTATTGTAAGTATACATCTTTACTATCTCGTTTCTTTTAACTAGATGACAACGATTGTCGATGTTTTGCCTCATTGCACTCATAGACTTACATATATATGTATATGAGACGACATGATTGTGTAATAGGACCGATGAAATGTAATCGAATCATGTTAGATTTGATATATCTCGCTCGAGCGCGTTTGTACTGATTATTTGAGAGAATGAATAAGTGAATGACTAGACAAATTCAATAGTGACTATACATATTCATCAATTAGTAAAATCATAACTAGTTGTATGCATTTTGTATTTTTAGAAAAGAAAAGATAGATAGTTTTCTATTGTCATTAATTTAAGCTTCTTTATATGATCTCAAGAAGTTTGGTTTTTTTTCTATAATTAATAGAACCTAGACAAAATGTAATTTATAATTTTTGATAGACTAAGACAATACATATACATATATATACATGTATATTGATCGATTGTTTTTACTATTGACCACGCCTTTTCTATTTTGCTTGTGATAGTCATATGGTTCATAATATGGATCACTAGAATGGCAAGGCGATGGTGATTGCACTAGATTAGACAAGAAGTATACTCACGTGAATCGGCGGTTCCTTTTAAGGGTTTCTTTTTTTTTGCATTGTTGATGCTATATATATGTATATGCATGAGTTCACCATCAAACAAAGATACTTTTGTTATTTCTCTTCATATATAATATCAACTTCTTGTTGCTGTTCAATATTAATTAAATAATAGACAATCTTACTGTCTAGATAGATTATAATCATATGAAAAATCAATCAATTATGTTTTTCAATCCGTTGAATCCAAGTTTTTTTTTATCAAATACAGATAGATCGAACCAAAGAGCTTCTTCAAGTTTTCGTTCTCGAGATAGATTTTTCAACAAAAAAAAAAGCTGTGATCCTCCTCATGAAAAATCGAATTTTGAGATCAAACTTTGCATGAACAAAGTTCTTAATGAGATTAGTTGATTGTGAAATGAAGTATTTCCTTTTTGAAAATGCAAATCTATGAACAAAATTGTCTTTTACACATGAGTGAATTTCGAATATTGAATATCTTAGAATAGCCAATACTAGAAAATTTACAATTTGTCCAATGAACTAATCTCATTAAAAACTTTGTTCATGCAAAGTTAATTTTTGTTAAAAATATTCATCTCGAGAACAAATGCTCGTAAAATCAAACCATTCTATACTTTTCTAATACTCATCAGATGAATACTGTCTTGGTTAAAATTCTATTTAATACTTGAAGAGATTCTCTATTGAAAAATTTATTTAATATGATGCTGAATAATTGAAATATGAATAGAATAGAAAATATCTAAATGAATTTTTCTATTATCTATTTAGATCGCATGTCAATACCCACAACCACACTATCATTTATCAATGACCAAGAAAGAAAACCTATTTCATTTTCTCATTATTCTCATCATCGACACGTATCTTCATCTATAGATAAAAATGATCATAATGATATTCATCGTCCACTTTTGCATGCAATTAAAGTGCAACGTCATAGTGATCCCTATTCAATAAAATGGATAACTGAAGGACCACATCGAGATATGAATATTGGTTCGTATCGATTTTTTTCCTCCTCTTCTTCTCTATAGTTCTTGTAAATTAATTTTTTATTGAAAAATTCTTTTGTTGCAGATAAAATTTATCGAACAACAAATTTAATGGAAACATCATCTTCACCATCACAAATGCTTAGTCTTGCATTGAGTTCTTCATCAATGAAATTGTCGATATCATATATTCTTCTATGTCTTCTACTTTCATTAAGATAATGTAGAAATATTTGTCAATGTGTTTTTTTTTTCGTCTTGACACCGGTGTTCATGAAAATTTTTTTTATTATTACAATTGAAATATTGTTTTGTTGAAAGAAGATCTTGATTTATATACTTATTGTGTGTTGAACAAATGGTTGAAATAATAATTCTTTCTTTTTTGACTTCCTTTCTTTTTTTGCTTTTCCTTTTTTTTTTAAAGTTTAATTCATATTAAGCTACACAGAAAATAAAACAAAAGAATAATTTATTGTTTTTATTGGGCACATAAGTATATTCAAAGTCTTCTATTCATCTATTTTCTTGGTTTAATCCATTACAAAACATATGATCAACCATTTGTTTGTTAGTAGAGCGTATTACATTGTTAAGATGAACATCTCTGTAACATTGATCATATCATGACGATTAGGAAGACTTTTATAATCGTAAAAGAAAAAAATTTTTATAATTTTGCAGCCATAACTTGTTCATAGTTATGTTCATTATGTCAAATCGTCAAAATAACATCACTTTAAAGCAAAAATTATATTTTTGGTTTGTCGTTTTGATGTAAATGCATTGGAAAACTTCCTAATAAATAATTATAAATGATTTCCATATATAACGATACGCTGGCATCCTTATTATTGGTTGGTTCGATGCTATAATCAAAGAAAAAGATCTTTTAAAATAAATATGAATATTATGAATTTGAGTTATATTAAAAAAAAATACAAATAGTAATTGCAGTTTACACGATAAATTGTTTTCCTATTTTTATTATTTTAATAAATACTAAAGATTTTGCTTAACTAATATTTCAATCATTGTCAAAGCTTATCTACAATTATTAGTGCTACCTAATCTTATAATTATAAGTGCATCATAACCATCATCTATTGGCATATGAAAAAGCTTATCCTACATATGTCTAACTGATAGAATAATGTAATAAACTAAAATATTAATTTTATCTGCTACTACATATAGAATTTGAAGTGAAGAGAATAATATAAACTTTAATTTTATGGACATATTCTAATAATTGACA